TCTTCCTCGGAGAACGGCTATTATGATGTAAGCGCGCTGCTCAACACTGGTTATTTCCATCTCGCACGACACTCACCAACTGAACTGATTTCAGAGCCCTCGCTACCACACAGCCAGCTATCACAGAGCCATCTGTTGTTCTGCATACACACTATGGCTGCAGAACTTCGACATGACACATATATGTTTTGTGATCCGTTCACATATCTACAAGAAAAAAATAGTTGCCATGACTTTTGCTCCAACCCTCGTATTTTAGTAATAAACTTAAGCACAGTGCGTGATTGATTCGAAAACAAAAAGTTGTTCTGCTTATGTATTTGACTTTCCCTTAGTTTGCAGTTGAAGAAAGCGATAATGTTTATTCATTGAAATAAAAATCTATGTCAGTTATTTTTGCTTTTTTGGCCAAAATGACGTTAGACCTAAAGAGCTATTCGTCTCAAAACGGCATCTTGCGTCGTTTCACTTTCTGCGTTCATTCACTTTTCAAACTGTTGCCAGCAAATATTATCGCCATCTATTATATTTAAAGAAACTAAGTAATGAAGAATCTGCATATAAATGCTTCTCGCATTGTGAAAAAACAACGCTACCTAGAGCTATCCAATTTTGAATAACGAAGTCCTACAACCGAACATGGGCACTTGGAAGCCCGAATTTTGGATTTCGAATTTGTTTTATTTCTGATCAACGATTTCAAAGCAAGCAACGGCAAAACTGCGCGCAGGGGGGGAGGGAATATCTCCAGCTCGCGAGACTGTAAATCCGAAATTCTAGCAATGTGCTGCTTTTAAATATTTTGTGATATTACTGTTGAATTGAATTTTATGAGGTTTAAGTGCGAAGAACATGATATTTAATAAAAAGTCCCCTGCAAAAGTTTAAAAAAAAAGGGCTTTTTTTGGCGTAATTAAATCCGAAGCTTCAGCAGTTTTTAAGCGATCTGAGCTGTCTTCCATTTAACCCAATAAGTTTTTTGGATCTGTAATAGCGGAAATCCTGCACTAGAAAAACTTGTTATTCTCGTTTGGAAATATCTGAAAACTAATATTACTGTCAACTTCATGTATTACCCGATTCTCTCATTTTTTTTTCAAAGTAATATTTTGTTTATTTTTTGGAATTGGGTCACATGGGAAAAAAAAAAAAAAAAGAAAAAAAAAAAAAAAAAAAAAAAAAAAAAGCAAAAAAAAAAAAAAAAAAAAAAAAAAAAAAAAAAAAAGGCGAAAAAAAAACGCAATATGCCCAGAACGACTGTTAATTCGTGTCGATGCACGATAAGTGCTGTATCACTTTAATTGTTGCCCACCATAACTTACGCTCTGCTGCTTAAAGAATAAATGATGAAGAATGGCATATAGTATGTTTCTCGCATTGTGATAAAACACGGGAGGAGCCATCAAATTTGAATAACGTATCTCCATAGAGGGGGCATGTGAAGCTCTAATTTGAATTTGGAAATTTATTTTATTATCGATTTCATATTTTGTAAGACTTCAGGAATTTTTGATATCAACCTAACGATTTTGAAGCGACATGACATCACTTGGGGGGGGGGGGATTTTACTCCAGCGCGATGATGTGTGTATAGGAAATTCTTAGGATATTCATTTTTAAAATTTTGCGATATTGTTGAACTGAATTTTATGGTGATATTTATAAATAAGGGAACACACAAAATGTTTAAAAAAACGCCCTGTGGACGTAATTTAAAAAATTAAAAAACGTAGGCACTCTAATTAGGCCTAGAGGAGTACACAAGTAAATTTGTTAAGATAGCACTTATCTTTTCAAATTTGCACACTGATGAATAGAGCTTCTAAAATCTAAAAGAGTGCTGAAACTAACTGCAATGAGACCGATGCGATGCGGAACATAGAATACAGTTCATCCCTAGATTATCGGTGAGCCCGATCTGGGCACGCCTAGGTTCGCCGTTTGGTTTTAGGCAAGATTTCAAGGTAAAAATTTAAAACTAATATAGATAAGGAGGTTTAGGTACAGCCAAAAAAATAACATAGAAATTCTTTTCAAACAATTCCTTTTATACCCTAAAAAAAAAAAAAAATCTGGAAGATTTCTTTGAAAAATGAGGGTCTTAAAAAACTGGACATGGCTAAAATATATGGACTGGTTTGTGTTGAGCTGCCATCTACTATAAATAAAGAAGGTTCAGAGTAACCTATAGCAACCTATAAATCCTTTTTCATTCAATATTCCTGTGCATACAGAAGGAAGATTTTAGGTATGTCGAGACCGGACACACTGTGCCGCAAAAGGTTAATTTTACTTCTCGTGTCATTCTTCCTCCATTTTATTCTGAGTATAAAATTACCAGTTGAGCACGATAAAAATTTCATCAATTTGATATGTTATCTAAATAAAAACAAAGTTAAGAAGTATCGTTCTTAAATCTTATTGTTTATTATTGTTCTTAAATCTCTCAGTTTGTTTCATTAAAAACAATAATTTGAAAACGTAAGAGTTGATCCCAAACTGGAAATATAGGCGGCAGCTTTGGAATTGACAACTAGCTACTAAAGATAAATTAAAGATATCCTGCCAGCCAAATTGGCAACAGCTAAAAATATACCAGTCACGTAATTATTAGCCCTGAAGTAGTACGAGGTTTGCTATTTATATTTCTGACCTAATAACGAAAAAACAAATGTTTATGAACAAAATTGGTTTTATTGTTTTTCAAAATATTCTCCGTGAAGATCAATACACTTTTGCTTGCCTCTGAAGCAATTTTCCAAGCACTTTTTTTACTCCGATTGGGACAACTCCAACATATGCGTTTTGAATGCATCAACCGCTTCTTCGGGCGTCGCAAATCACCGACCACGAAATTTATTTTTGATGTGTGGGAATAAAAAAAAAGTCATTGGGTGCCAAATAAGGGCTGTAGGGCGGATGACCCATCAGCTCGATGTTTTGGCCGGTCAAAAATTCTTTCTTTTGAGCCGATGTGAGAGAGCTCGCATTGTCATGATGATGAATGATTCGCTTCTTCTGCTTTTTTTGAATTTTTTCGATGACTTCTGAGAAACAAATGGTCGTGTATCATTCGGAATCGACCATCCTGCGTTGCTGTAACGCCACTGTCGCCACACGTGACCCGTAATGCCGAAGGAAACAGGCAAACAGTTTGCTTCGCGTGCTTCTTCCGCGAACGACTTTTGTTGGATTTGGCTCGTCTTGGAAGACTCATATAATCGATTACTGTTTTGTTTCGGGCTGATATGGATAGAACCATGATTCGTCACTTGTGTAGATATTATACATAGACTTTGATGTACTTTGAACTTATTTTTCCAACCATTTCCTTACACCAATCGACACAAGCCTTTTTTTGAGAGTTTGTCAGATTATGCGGGATCCAACGCGAACAAATCTTTTTCACGGTCAAACGTTTCGTGTAATATTTTATTTATGCTTTTCATACTAATGCCCTAAAAGTGTCTCAATTTCACTGTATGTCACATGACGATCTTGTTTTATTTATTCAAGCACAACATCGATATTTTCTGGTACAATACCCGATTTTGGACGACCTTCGCGGAATTCGTTCTGGAGCTAATGTCGACCAAGATTGTACCAGTTTTTACAGTGCTGTAGGACGGTGTTTTATCGTTGTATAAAGAATTAAAAACATCGAAGTGTTCTTGTCCTTGATGACCCACGTGGGGAGTTATGAAAAATAATCGCACGAAAAAGCTCACGAGTCAATTCAATTCCCCCCCGAAGGTTAGTTTTCCAATTTTCTGTAAACAATACATATTGTTACGTTATTTTCTTCCTTCGGTACGGGGTTCGTGTGGATTTGGAGTGAATAACGACGACACTTGAAGTATCGAAACACACTTTATTGGCCAGTATTGTCAGGGCAGCTCCAAAACACGTTTTACAGTCGTCGATGAACTCCTATAAACACGCTGACACGATCAGCGACACAGCTTTCAGGTTATCAGGCTATCACGGTGGACATAGCTTCACTGTAAAGCATCAGAGTACAGCTCCCGACTCTGCTCGGTCGTTCTCGGAACTCCACGTACTCTCGAGACTCTCCACGCTACAACTCGCGATGCACTCGACGGCACACAGAGCACGGCTCCCGACTCTTCGGTTCAGTCGTTCCCGGAGCTCAACACGCTCTCTCGACGATGCACTAACCTCGATACTCTATGAGACTCTTTCGGTGAACTCGACTCCCACTCGGCACTCGACTGTCCGGCTATCACGCGATCGATCCTCCGCAGGGATCGACTCGCTAGACGAAGACATACTCACTCGAATGAGAGACAACCCTTTTCACTCTACGATGAAGGCACACTTGACTGACTGCAGACCAGCACGGGTTTATATAGCTTCCGGCTTGTGTTCGGGAAAATTCTGGACTAAACCAGTAAGAATTCGTTCCAGAAGGTTTTCCTCCGTCATGGCACATCGTCCAATGGTGTATTGCCGATTTTGTCTCCAAATGGGTGATTTCTCGCCAAATGTGGTATCACTGCCTTCCCTTGCCATTTTATGGCAACTCTAAACCTGCTTTGCGGGGAAGCTATCTTACCGCGCCTGTACATTTCGTAACAATATTAAAAAAATATGTTTGATAAATGTTTGATAATATTTGAAAATATTATCAAACATATAATGACTCGCTACACGAGACACACTCGATGCTAACTATCTCGCACTCTCGAGGCACACACTCGTCCTCTTGAGAAGGCACATCCACTGACTGCGGACTAGCAGGGTTTATATATCTTTCGGCTTCTCTTTGAGAACATTCCGGGCTAAACCGGTAAGAATTCTTTCCAGAAAGTTCTCCATCCGTCCAAGGCACATTGCTAATTTTGCCTCCAAATGTCGCCAAATGGGCGATTTCTCGCCAAATGTGGCAACCCTGTTTTGCTTTGCCATTTTAATGCAACCTTAAAACTGCTTTGCGGGGAAGCCATCTTACCTTCCTGTACATTTTGTATCACTCTAAAATGGCAAAACGTTCTGAAGAAGTTATGGATAAAAATATCAATAACAATGAAAATATGGAGAGACGTACTAGAAGACCGTAAAAATAAGCTCAATGTGGAAAAAATTGTAATAAATTTTGAAGCAGACTGTAGGGTCATTAGGTTATTTTGAAGCCGGAAGACCTGAAAAATGCGCAGTGCCCTCTCCGGGACTTCTCGAATACGCGCCGAGTGTACTGACCATTACACCGCGAAGACATGCTAGAAGACGGGAGTTACATTATAAGCTATAAAAGCGATTGTAGAAGACATGTCTTCGGAAGAAAAGGAAGAAAATTTATCCTAGCTCTCTAATCGGCGAAATTTGTACGGAATAATGTAATATACAAAGCTTTCACGATACGATATCATCTTGATAAAGCAGTAGCAAGCTGCTGCAAGCTGTAGCTTAAGCATTTTTTGATAACACTGCCATGTCTCGCTGTATAAAAATCTTAAAACATAGTTAAAAACAAATCACTCAAATGAACAAATTTTAAATGAAACAAAGGCCCAAAGAGTCTGAAGTAGAGAGAGCGGTACTTAGAGACAAAATAAAAATAAAATAAAATATCTTGTTGAACCTTTGAATCTTCTTGTTGAACCACCGATGTTTTTATGGAAGACAGTTTTACATCCACTCAATAACATCTTCCTCATATTTTTTTAATACTTTATAGAGTCTTGTCTTAATATAAAATTATACCAGAACTCTAAATGATAATCTGTGAATTATCAGTATATCTTGCAAGTACCACAGAGACAGGGGAAAGGATAAAAAGGGCATTTTATTAATTCAAATAAAGTTAAGGCCCACCAGCGGCCGAGCGGTAAAGATGCTGAACACTGGTAGTTCGGTCCGACGTTCGAATCTCGCGAACGAGCTGGTTGCATGGGCGTTTTCGTGGTTTTCCCCATGTGTAACGTGTATACGAGGCAGTTTGCCTTAGAAAGTCCTCCACGAAGGCATCCCTTCCTTTAGGCAGATAGCCCCCGTGTGCTTTGCCATAATTAAATAATCCAATCCAATCAAATAAAGTTAACAGACGGCACCAACTCGTGCTTACAGAAGCCAACAGTTTGGGCTTAAATCAAAGATAATGGGTGAACTAATATAAATAAGTCTAGCTTAACGGATTCACAGATTAACTAACGTACAAGCTGGCTCTGACGCAAGGTCGATGTTAATAAGCCATATAAGGTATTTCACCCGCCTTCTTAGCATGCCTTCGGGGTGTAGTGGTCAGCACACTAGGCGTGTATTGGAGAGGTCCGTGGTTCGAATCCCGGCGAGGGCATTGCTCATTTTTCACGTCTCCAGCACCAAAATAACCTAATGTCTCTACAGCCTAATGGCAAAAGTAACTCAACGCTGCAGAATACTAATCGCATACTTCAGCAACGTGGTCTTCAAGCAGACAGAACACGCTCTAATTTTATCGTATAAAACAGTGTTTCCCAAAGTGAGGCCCACGCCCTGCAGGGGGACAATTAGATTGTTAAGGGGGACCAATTCGAAAATGGAGTCTTCCAGAGTTTAAGGGGACAAGGGAATGTTCAAACATCTAATGTTTTCAAGATTTCGAAATTTTTCAAAATTTCCTTTCTTATTCCCAAAAAAATAAAGAATAATGTAAGTTGATGTATACGGTAAAATGTTTTTAAAATACGGTGCGTTTTAAATATTTTATAAAGAATTTTCGCTGTAGACATGGACATTTAAATGCTTAGACATTTCTTCCTAAAACCTATCATTCACGTTTCTTTCGTGAACATTTCAATTTTTGATATTAAAAATTATGTATTTGCTAGGAAGTGCATAAGAATTTTAGAGAGGATTAGGTAGGACATAGCACAAAAAAGGTTGGGAAACACTGGGTATAAAACCTCTTTGTAAAAAATTCTCTACCCCCACTTGAGTATCGCGCAAGCTAGAAAGGTGGTGGACGATAATTCGTCGCTTTCAGGATTTAGGGATAAAACCCCAGTCACCTCCAGTCGTCCTTTAAAAGGGGGTGTATATATGTTATTTTCTCCCTCCATTCCGCATGGCTCCGTGCTGTAACTGTAAGCATACTAGACGTGTATTCGAGAGGTACAGGGTTTGAGTCCCGGCGAGTGCACTGCAATTTTTCACGTCTTCTGCTTCAAAATAGCCTAATGACTCTATAGGTGGCGCCCGAACTAAAAGGTGGTAGGCGATAATTCATCACTATTAGTATTTGGCGACTGTGTCCTCTCATTCCGAGTAGCTATTTAAAAGGGGTGAGTATTTAAGGTATTTCCCCCCTCCTTTCTGCATGCCTTCATTGTGTCACTGGAAGTACACTCGACGCGTACTGGAGAAGTCCGGAGTTCAAATCCCGGCGAGGGTATTGCACATTTTTCACATCTCCAGGTTCAGAAATTTCCTACGAACTTTACAACTTTTGCCATTCGTTCTCATTCCTTACATGCACAGTAAAATTAATCTTCTTCTATATTATCTGTATCATATTTTATTTTATCTTGTTTGGTTTATACTTAGTGATTTCCGTTGGGTTTTCGGTTATGTACTTGTGCAGAAAGTACTACTGTCAAGTTTAAATAAGCAATCATCTGGGCTCTAGGAACGATAATGAATCATTTTACATTAAATCGTATGGGGAAAACTGTTTCTGTTTACGAACATTTCGGTTGACGAACGGCTTTAGAGAACGAGTTAAGTTTGTGAAGCGATGTCTCCCGGTAACTTAAATTCATTGAAGAATAATGTTGCGTGCGTCTGGATTCGTAATAGATTGAATGCACAAGTTCGGTAATATATGAATAAAAATTTATTTATATCAACGGAAATATTTCAGAATATTCGTACAAGTGTAGTTACACTTGAAACTACTAAGAACGCTAAACACGCAATGTATAAAGCGCATCTAAAGAGAAAGCTAGCTGGGATTTATCGCAATTCGCGCGGAGCTACAACTTGCAACAACAATAACTAAGCAACTGAACTCGTATGCTCTCTCTCTATCCAGGCTTTTATAGTTTTCAACCGGCCGCCGAGATATTTCTAGTCCTTTCTGCTTCTCTATATTACTGGAAAACAATAAGGGTGTGGGATTACTGTTACAGCTATCATAACGGTCGATTACATTTATTCAATTTCGATACGTATTACTGTGGCAATACATATTATGTACAATTAAGGAATGGTTGGCCAAGGCCGGCATGTGGCAAAATGGCAGGTCGCGAACGGTACGTGGTGTGTCCGCCGATAACATCGTGGCAAAAACATCGTGGACGAAAACGTCGCGGAGAAAACAACGCAAGGCGAAAACGTCGTGCTACATCACATCGTGGGAGAAAACATCGCAAAGAGAAAACATCGCAGTTCTAAAACATCGTGGTACAAAACATCGTCGTAGAAAATAAAGCGGTTCAAAAACTCGCAGTTTAAAAAAATCGTCGTCGAAAATATCGTGGTAAAAATAAAGTATCTACAAATCATCGCATGACGATAACATCGCAGACATGCTTTTTTCAGGTTTTTAATAATTGTAAATGGATATTCCCATAATGATTTGTGAGCGCAAGGTGTAAAGAAGGATAAATTTTACTTTCACATATTTTTTAACTAATAAATTTTTGCTGAAAAAATAAGAAGGAAACTTAAGCATAGAAATTAAATGTAACTTATAGATTATACTTTTCATGAAATATTACCAGTAAAAACTTTATCAAATGATTTATTAATGGCCTTTGTTAGTTAACTATGTCGGTTTAAAATTCTATTAAGTGCTATAAGTTGCATTAATATTTATGCTTAAGTTTCCTTTTTATTTTCTCAGAAAAAATTTATTAATTAATAAAAAATATGAAGTAAAAAATTATCCTTCTTTCCATCTTGCGCTCACAATCATTATGGGAATATCCATTTACACTTATTAACGCATGCCTGAAAAAGCATGTCTGCGATGTTATCGTCATGCGATGATTTGTAGATACTTTATTTTTTATCACGATATTTTCGACGACGATGTTTTTAAACTGCGATGTTTTTGAACCGCTTTATTTTCGACTACGATGTTTTGTACCACGATGTTTTAGAACTGTGAAGTTTTCTCTTTGCGATGTTTTCTCCCACGATGTTTTGTAGCCCGACTTTTTCGCCTTGCGTTGTTTTCTCCGCGACATTTTCGTCTGCGATGTTTCTGCCGCGATGTTTTCGGCTGTAACCGTACGTGGGACCCGAAGCAAAATTATTCTGCCCACGAATATATATCTCGTCCTGCTGCTCCTTCTCCTACTTTTGCTCCACCTCTTGCTGCTCCTTCTCCTGCTCCTCCTCTCCTGCGCTTCCTCTTGCTGCTCCTCTTTCTCCTGCTGCTCCTCTTTCTGCTCCTTCTCCTGCTTCTGCGCCTTCTCTTGCTGCTCCTCCTTCTCCTGCTGCTCCTCTTCCTTCTGCTGTTCCTCCTGCCGCTCCTCTTCCTGCTGCTCCTCCTCGTCAGCTTACTCCTCTTCCTGCTGCTCCTCCTGCGGCTCCTCCTCTTGGAACAGCAGGAGGAGGAGTAGCAGCAGCTGGAGAAGGAGGAGCACGATGAGGAGCGAGACTTGTATTCGTGGGCAGGATGATTTTGTTTCGGCCCAAGGCCCAAGGCGTTTGACTTCCGGAGTACCTTTGCAACTTAATGCAATTACCTCCACAACTTCGATAAGGAAACTGAGTTGAATAAGAAAAAGCATTGGCTAAAGGAAAAATGAACAAACCGTTAAGGGTTTACTATGAAAGAAATGAATAAGGAGTCCACATAAGGGACGAGTAATTCTCTCTGCTTTCAACTTGTAATTCAAGATTGAAAGAGAGAGAGGTGTTGATTGTTTTGTTTCGAAGCCCACGTGCCGTTCATGACCTGCCATTTTGCCACTTGCAGCCCGCGGCCCGCCATTCCATAATTGTAAATAATAATATTGTAGTAGTAAAGATAATATTGTAACATTGTAAATGATAAATATTGCATCTGCCTTTGGAGAAGAGGGTTATTTATTCTTAAAGCTACTTTTTTTATATTCAATTTTTTTAACTTGAAATTTATGAGACTTTTTCTTACTTTATTTTCGATCCGATTTTCTTCTCTAAAACATTTTATCACATACTGCACCGTAGAATGGAATAAATTTACTAATTCAGCGATATCCCGAATCGAATTTCCATCTTTATAATGAAAAAAGATCAATTTTCTAATGCTGTTCATTGTGTCTTTACGACTACGAGCCATTTTTAAATATTAATTAAAATATAACGAAGTTAGCAAGCAAAAAATAAAGCCAAACAATTTTTTAAAAGTCACCAAAAATAAAAAAAGTTGTAGACGATAATTTTGTTTATGAAATTTTACCAAACTGTTTCGGTGTATAATCACTTTTGTGACGGGTTTTACCTATTTGCATCCTTATATTTTCAATTTTAGAAAATAAATAAGTGAGTAGTAAAAATTAAAAAGCTTGGTTTCATTCACATGGAGATGATATGAAAAAAATATCGGGCTTTATATTCGAATTCAGTTCCGCATTACAGCGGTTTTTCTGCAAATACTTTAAGCGTACGAACAATTTGTCACTGTATATGAAAAAAGATCGTAAGCTGGTAAATCTTAATATCTATAAATGTATGATAATTTTCTCAAGAAATATTTTGAGATTACCGAGGAAATACAGTAAAAAATGGAGTCCGCTGAAAAATGACATATGCCTCAAATTACTCCGAAATATGAGAAAGAACTCAAAAAATCAGTGGTGCTTTAGTAAAAGCACCATGTCCCAACTGCAATTCATTTCTCAAATGTTAGAAGCTATGCCTCGAGAAAAGTATGTTTATCTTCCTCTGTCACTGCGTTAAAATCTTTTTTTTTTTTTTTTTTTAATTTTATTTATTTTTTCCCTTTTTCTTTTTTCTTTCTTTCTTCTTCTTCTTCTTCTTCCCCCCCCCACCACCCACTTCCTTTTTTAAAAAAAGAATACTTCTTGAAAGTTGATTGCGTGTTCTCCAACGGTATTATTATTAAAATATTTTTTTAAAAACTTTTCAAAGTTAAAAGGGGGTAAACCTTAATAAACTGTTTAAAAGAATTTGAGAGCCTACGGATGTACATGCATCATATAATTTGCTTTTTAGCACAGATAGCAAAAGTCTGAAGAATGCAGCTTCTTAGAAATGAGGAAGATATTTCTTTCGTTGTTTTCGCTTTTTTCTTTCTTAAGTGTTCAAATCCTCGTAACCTCCAGAGGTTGCAGAAGCCGTATTCGAACAGAAAGAAGCCTCAAATGCAAAGAAGCCTTGCAGGAAATCGTCTGCGACCAGTCCTGTGAAAACAAAAAATGTGGGTCACGACGCCATTTCGCTTTCTCAGTGAATGGAAAAATTTAAAAGAGATAAAATCACGACTGTTTTCTGGTGTCGATATAAAATTAGACATGAAAGAAGATTTGATATCCTTGGAAACTTTATTTAAAGATTAAATGCCCTCTTACGTATTCAGAAATGGTTTGAAATATTTTTATACCTTTTGTTTCGAATAATTGGGAATTCTGAAAAGTTCAACCTGAATATGATTTCCATATATCGATATAATGATACTGATAACTTGCAAATGCACATATAATTTTTGATTAAAATAAAAGTTCAAAAATAATAAAAAAAAAAAGAGTCTGAAAGCTTTCAGATTTTACGTTACGCCCAAAGGAGCGTTTTTTTAACGTTTTGTGTGTAACCTTTAGTAAATATCATGTTCTTCGCACTTAAATCGTGAAATTCAGTTCAATAGCGATATCACAAAATAATTTTAAAATGAGCTTACCTTTAGAATTTCCGATGCACAGTGTGGCGCGCTAGAGATTAATTTTATTTTATTTTATTTATTTATTTATTTATTTTGTTGTTTTTTCCGTATGGTGTTGCCATTGCTTGCTTAGAAATCGTTGAGTTTGTTAATCAAAAATTCGGTAAAGTTTTACAAAATATGACATAGATAATAATAAAACGAATTCCAAATTTGGGCTTCCAGATACCCATATTCGGGTGGAAACGTACGTTCTTCAAAATTGGATGGCTCTAGGTACCGTCGTTTTATCACAATCCAAGAACACATACATACTTTATGCAGATTCTTCATTATTTAATTTCTTTAAATATAACGCAGGGCGATAATACTTGGTGGCAACAGTTTGAAAAGTGAACTGACATTTAAAGTCTTCAACGCAAAATGCCAAAACGAAATTAATAGCTCTTCTGGACTAAGGGATAAAAATCGGTTTCTAGCTAATTGCCTCCAAAATTTCACTTTTACAAAGTTCGTCGTTTGACTAGTGTACTATCAGAATATGACATTTTATTTGAACCATTAAATAAATTGGTACCAAGGAAATAATACATTTCATTGGTAGAAGTGTTTCATTGTTTAATAGTAGAAGTGTTTCGTTGTTTAATTGAGATTATTCTCAATTGTTGAATTGAATATAATCGCACGAAATGTGGAAAAGACTACCTGAAAGTGATCAAAAAACCGCTACAGATTACGTAACTGATGCTTTTATTTCCGAATGTTTCATACAAGGCTCTCCAGTGGTGCTGAACACTGGTAGTTCGGTGGGAGGTTCCAATTCCGCGAACGGGCTGGCTACACGGGCGTTTTCGTGGTTTTCCCCTATGTGTAAAGTTTAAAGGAGCCAATTTCCCTTAGAAAGTACTCCACGAAGGCATGCCTGCCCTCAGGCAGGTAACCTTCGAGTGCTTTGCCGTAATCAAGAAAACCAGCTTCATACAAGCTGATTAATTTTAGGTCCAGAAGCGAATGTAATATCCTTTTGAGATTCAATTAAAATTTTCATTTTCGTATTCAGATGCGCTGAATAAATTTTTGTCTTTAATTGTTTTCTGGGGCCGTTTGCGGCTTCATTTGATTATCTTTTAACTGCTTTGAACAATTACTTTTTTTTTTTTTTTTTCGTTTTCGTTTTCGTGTGTTTGGTTGTTATTTTCGATCGTTCTAGAGAAAGAATAAAGCGTATAAAAACAGTTTAACAAAGATTTCCTCTTTTGAGGCCCACCAGTGGCTGCATATAATTTGAAAAGGGAATCTACGCAAAATGCCAAAACGAAATTATTTGTCCTTCCGCGGAAAATTTAATTTTTTTAAAAAAGATTGTTGTAAATTATTACTTTTATTCTAAGTTTTGCATTTTTTTTTTTTTTTTTGTAAAGAATAGAATAAATATATTATTTTGAAAATGCGCTGAAATTATTAGCCGAAAGAGGCAATTTGCCCACAAGGGGCTATTAATTTCGTTTTGGCATTTTGCTTTAAACAGCGTTTCACTCTTCAGACTGATACCGCCAAGTATTAGAACCCTGCATTATATGTAAAGAAATTAAACTAATGAAGAATCGGCATGAACGTATGTATATTTCTCTCACTGTGAAAAAAGTACGGTACCTAGAAATATCCAGTTTTGAATAACGTAGTCCTGCACTCGAATATGGACATCTGAAAGCCCGAATTTGTAATTTATTTTATTATTAGGCCAAAGGGCCTTACCCCAAAAGGGCTATTAATTCCGTTTTGGCATTTTGTGGCGTTTCACTATAAACGGCGTTTCAATTTTGAAATTGTTGCCACCATATATTATCGTGCGGTATTATATTTAAAGAAATTACATTATGAAGAATTTGCATAAATGTATGTATGTTTCTCGCATTGTGATAAAACAACTTGTACCTAGAGCCATCAAAATTTCAATAACGTACGTTTCCACCCGAATATGGGCATCTGGAAACTCGAATTTGGAATTTGTTTTATTATGTATTTTATATTTTGTAAAACATTAACAAATTTTTGATTAATAAACTCAACGATTTCAAAGCAAGCAATGGCAACACTGTAGGGAAAAAAAAAAAAAAAAAAAAAAAAAAACTCCAGCGCGGGAGACTGAAAGATATGTTCTTTTTAAATTATTAGCCCAGAAGAGCTAGTAATTTCGTTTTGGCATTTTGCGTTGGTTCACTATAAATGTCGGTTCGCTTTTCAAATTGTTGCCACCAAATATCAGAGTCCTGTGTTATATTTAAAGAAATTAAATGATGAAGAATCTGCATCAATGTATATGTGTGTCTCGCACTGTGATAAAACAACGGTACCTAGAGCCATTCAATTTTCAATAACGTGATCTTCCACTGAATATTGGCTTCTGGAAGCCCCGATTTCGAATTTGGAATTTGTTTTATTATCCATGTCATATTTTGAAACACCTTAACGAATTTTTGATTAACAATCTCAAGGATAGCAAAGCGAGCAATGGCAACGTTGTACAGAAAAAAACATTTTTATCTTTAGCGCGTGAAACTGTGCATAAGAAATTCTAAAGATATGCTCAATTTAAAATTATTTTGCGATATCATTCTTGAGCTGAATTTTATGGTTTAAGTGCGGAGCACATGATATTTAATAAATAAAGGAAACACACAAAACGTGATTTTTTTTTTCAATTTAACACTTTTACAAAATATTTTTAGAGCAAATTTTAAGATGTGCGAATGCTTTTAGTAATA